ACTTTAAATCCTTTTGGATTGTCATTCAATTTAAATCTCTCTTGGAATATATATTTACAATTCATTGCAAAGATACCATTTACTAAATCTGTCTTCCGTTACCATGATTGTCATTTTTTTACTCCTGATTCCAATCTTTACCTTTATTAAACTTTTTTTTGTCTCTGGAATTCTGTTATTTTATTTTGAATGGCGTAACAGTTTTTTATTTTGAATGGCGTAACTCTTGGTAACAGTTTTAAATGTTGTGTAAACCTTCCTGATCTCCATGGTGAAAAAAGTCTTCATATTCTGATAACTGTATAATTGGAAAAGTTTTTTGGAGTTATAAACAAACTATTTGATCATTTAATAGCCATCTTTTACAAAATTATCTTTTGGTTTTTGAAATCTACTGACCATTAAAACAAAATTTGATTTTATAGATAACCAATGCATGTTAGCAAGAAGACTTCAATGAGAATCAATTATTTCTAATGCTTTGTTTCGGATTTGAAAGATTTTGCTGCAATTGCTGCATCAAAATTCATGTAAAAAAAAAGAATAAAAATTTAAAAAAAATTTATTGGAGTTAAAAATAAAATCAATTTATTTAAATTTCATTAGTCTATGACAAAAAAAAAAATGATTTAAACATTGTTTTAGTTCTATCACATATTATTTTTTTAGAACAACTATAGAAAGTGTGCGGCCGTGGCGCAGTGGTACAGCGCTTGCTTTAGAAGCAGGAGATCCAGGTTCTAAAACGAGCTCTGGATATATTTTCGCGTCACGGTAAGGAGGGAGGCGTGAACTTCCTGGTTAAATGCACATCCGCGGTGCTCTGTGACAAGACCGTTAGGGCTTCTTGGGGTACCTAAATTAACAAAAAAAAAAAAAGTATACTTAGGGTTGTCCGACGTCTGGCTTTTACGGAGGAGAATAAAGCCAAATATACGTAAAAAAAAATTTTTTTCTGTGTTCTTCTTCGTAAAAGTCGGATATCTGGCCTAAGTATATTAAAGTAATTTCAATTTTAATATGAAACTGCTTATAAGGTATTAAAATTTGACTGCTTTTTTTAATTAGTTACTTTTTAAACTCTTATAGTTTTAGATTTACTTTTTTATATAAAAAAAAAAGTTGCAAAACTGAGACTATAAGCGTCACATTTGATTCCTCCACATATTTATTTTTTAAAGTCATCAAGCAAAAATCTTATTTATACAGATACATATTACAATAAACGTTCTTTTACATTATTATGATTCATTAATGATCCATCTTTACTTGTTAAGCTTCCTGTTTTGAATATTTTCATTTCGGTTTGTTTACAATATTATTTTTTTAAATCTCATCTGTTACTTCATATCTCAGTAGTTCTGATTTTAACTCATTCAAAATATTTATCATTAAGGAAGTTTCAATTAATGAACCTTACTGCATTTACTTTTTAATCCTCTTTTTTGTCCTAAAATTTATTAACCTCTTTTGTAACTACTAAATAAATTTTCAAACATTGGGCATATAATGTAGGTATGAGATATTTTCTTGTAAATACAAATGCTTTACAATTACTAGATAGTTGTAAAATTTAAAAAAAATAGTGGAACCTCTGAATTATTCTTGCGCTTGCTTGGAACTTTTACATAAATCATGCATTTGCATAGAACTTTTACATTATTCTTGCATTTGCATGGAGCTTTTACTTCTTGTACTTGCACGGAACCTTTACATTATTCTTGCATTTGCATGGAACCTTTCTATTAATCTTGTACTATCATAGAACTTTTGGATTAATCTTGCGCATGCATGGAACCTTTGCATTGATCTTGCACTTGCATGTAAATTTTGGATTAATCCAACATTTGCATAGAACTTTTGAATTGATCTTTCACTTGAATGGAACCTTTTCATTAATCTTGCATTTGCATGGAGCTTTTACATCAATTTTGCGCTTGAATGAAGCCTTTACATTAATCTTGTACTTGCATGGAACTATTAAATTATTGTTGTACTTGCATTGAACTTTTACATTAATCTTGCAATTGCATAGAATTATCAAATTATTCTTACACTTGCAAGGAAATTTTACATTACTCTTGCACTTGCAAAGAACCTTTACATTAATTTCATACCATTTTTTAAAAAAAAGGTAAAAGAGCACAGCACTGAAACTTATTTAATTTAACTTGTTGGTGTGTTCTCCTACGTAAAAAATCTCTTGTGAAATTTTCTTTTTAGTAAAAAAGAGTGTTCTGGTCACAAAAATAAGACAACGCACACATACAACATATAGATTAATACATATAAATTTTAATCAAACGAAAACAAAATATTGATCAAGTATTAAATACCCAATCAACATATAAAATACATTGCAAAATAAAACAAACGTAAAGTTTCATTATACACTTATGTTTTTACTTATACAATTTTATATATATATATATATATATATATATATATATATATATATATATATATATATATATATATATATATATTCACTTATTATTTAGGTGCCCCAAGAAGTCCTAAAGGTCTTGTCACAAAGCACCGCGGAAGTGCATTTAACCAGAAAGTTTATTACTGTGACGCGAAATATGTCCAAAGGTCGTTTCAAACCTGGATCTCCCGCTTATAAAGCAAGTGCTTTAACCACTGTGCCACGGCTGCAAATTGTAATGCATTAAATTACAAATATTTTTATAACAAGTATGAATTTAAAAGTTTAAAAGACAAGTACGAATTTAAGATGTCTCATAAGAATTTGAGGTGTATCATGTAAATGCATTAAATGATTGAAAACTAATTATTTATAATTAAAATAAATTTTTTTGAACTAAGTTTAAAAAGAATTTAATCTAACTTTTTTATAATAAAATAAAACCACGGTTGTAACCATATGAAATAAAACCACGGTTGTAACCATATGAAATAAAACTACGGTTGTAACCATATGATATACTCTAGAATTTATGCATAGAAACATTAAAGCTTAAGACAGTCATCAAACTTTGTTTATATCTATATTTATTAAAAAATAGAATGCTTTACAAACATTGTTCTTCTAAGCATAAGTATAATGGTTATAGCTTAAAGTAATTTTTTTATTTATTATATAACTAACTTTGTATTTAATAAGTTTGTATTCATTAAGTTTTTTTTTTTTAATAATTTCAAATTCCATTTAATAACTTTGGTCTTTTGAAGTTATGTTTTCAATCCCAAAATTTGATGTTATAGCTTTAAATTGCCATAATATTTGAGTTCTATGAAATTAATGGGTGCAGTGACTTTATACAATTTATCCATAACTCTTGTTGCATCTTATCTTAAATTAGAAGTTATTTTTTATGCAAACTCCCAAACTTCTAAATCAATTCAGATATACTAAAACCTTTGGCAATATTCATTATGGCGATTTTTACTTCATACCCTAATACAAATTAATCTATTCCTAATATAAATACAGTTTTAATGTTTATAACCAGAAGAAGAGTAAGATTAGTCCTGGTTTACAATAATACGTTAGCCCAGCTTCATAATAGCCTAAATTGCTACTATAATGTGTTCTGATTATTTGTTTTTTAAAACTGTTTTCCAAACGAGCTAAATGTTTAGTTTGGACAATTGCATTAAATTCTTGATTTGTACATCGTGCCTTTTAAAAACGTTACCACAACGTTAGCTTTGATACCACTACATTTGCTGCTTATTTACTGTTTAGGTTTTTATTTAAAAATTTATTTTAGAACATTTTTTAAATTTAATGACGTTACTGATAATTTTTTGTTGTCTCCCAGATATTCCCGAATCCCGTACCAATATTAACAAAATTT